TGTTAAGATAATGACCTTGTATGTGTGTATAACATTGTTTTTCTTTGTGGGGTCTGCCCCCAAAAAACAGTTTCAAGTCCTGAGAAAGTCAAATAAGACGGTGTGTAAAGCTACACTGCCCAGCCAAACAAAAGTAACCACTTTGATTTAACTTGGCCAGTAGGTAAGGGCTTTCCACTGGATAATAACTTACTGCAGCGATGTATATGTTTTAGCTGAATACACGTTTTTTAACCCTAACAGATGCAGTTCTTTAATCTTTGTTCTTTCTGATGTAAAGTCAAGGTTGTAACTGTTTGCAATGAAGTCGTGGGGCGCTGAACTGTTCCTTTGATTCTTTTGATATATGATAGTAATTACTTGTCTTTCAAATTTGAAGGAGGGTGAGCAAGCATCTTGAGGAACATTCATCATTAACTCCTCCATAAAATATAGTTTATTCAATAATAAATGAATATGTGAATCATAACAGTGATTGACAGCTGATAGGAATAATATGATTGTTAATAGTATCATATTAATTTAGACAAACATTGACGAGACAGTTAATTAATGTACTTATTGGAGCAGTCTGCATATATTTGGTACCCCTGCTGGTCTAAGAGTGAGACAAACTCATTCAGTTATTGTTCAGTTAAAATTCATTCAATTATGTTGTGCCACAATAATGTCACCTAATGTTATTGAGTTCAAATATCAATATTGTGCCTTTCCAAGTTAACATTAATTGATATGACTGCGATTAAATCAGCATATACTTCTGCCAGGGGATGCCACCCCTGAAATTCTCCTGCCACCCTCTTGCCACCCCATGAATATTTGTCGAGATCCGCCCCTGTACATGTATAATGCTTACACCTTTGAGAGCTCACATTTCTGTCAGCAACTGAGTGTGTGACGGCTGCGTTTGATCAGAGGAACCAAAGGCAAGTCAAGACAACTCCATATTTATTATATGGCACCAAATCACTACAGTTCTCTCATCTTTTCCTAGATAGCAGGTCTAGACTGCACTCTGTAAGTGTTTCGGTCAAAAAGAACCATCATGTTAGATTGATGTGTCTAAAGGTGTGCAGATCTGGACTGAGGTTTTGATTATTTGTATCTTCAGTTTCAATTATTGTGCTTTGTGTGTCATTTGCTAGCAATTGAAAATAACTGTAAATTCCTACAGTATTGAAAATATGAGCTAAGATTACTGAACCATGACGTGACCATCAGTTTGTCTAAAGAATAAACCAGCAGCCAGCCATGCAGAGGAGCCATGTTAATCAGCAGGCTGCAAGGAAATGTCACAAGCCCACACCACATTGAGGCTTAATTACTAGTGTGTGTGTGTGTGTGTGTGTGTGTGTGTGTGTGTGTGTGTGTGTGTGTGTGTGTGTGTGTGTGTGTGTGTGTGTGTGTGTGTGTGTGTGTGTGTGTGTGTGTGTGTGTGTGTGTGTGTGTGTGTGTGTGTGTGTGTGTGTGTGTGTGTGTGTGTGTGTGTGTGTGTGTGTGTCTTTGTGGGCTTAGCACAAGTGAGGTCAGCCAGCATTTATCCCAGGGAGAAGAGCTGTGTGTCAGCCGGACCGTTATTTCATCAGCAGAGCATCACATTTAAAGAATGAATAAGATAAGGTACGTTACTAAAGTACTTTCTCCATGTGACAGTAGGAAAAGCAACATTTGTAAATTAATAAAATAAATGATGGCTGAATTCCATTTAGTAGAGCAGGTTTTTCAGGTGACCAACACGTGTACAAATGTAGCAATTGTCTACCCTGTTCATTTCCTTATTGTGAAGAAATGATAACACTTAATTCAACATGACATAAGCAATTGATAATGTAGGAAACATCAGACAATTGTACATAATCAATTGCAATAATAGTTTGGAAATGTGTTCAAAAGAATTGAGAATCAATAAATAGTTTTGTATGATATGCACAATTGATGATGATGTGGAGGTTGAACAAGAATTTAGATTTTTAAGTGAAAATTGGAAAAAAAGTCTTATATCTTCAACATCGTGCTCTATGTTCTCCCCTCTACACTAACTGCACATGTGTAAACACACATTTCATCATTCCTGACAATGGACACACAAAGAACCACAGCCAGGAGGCACACGCCTTTCAGGGCAGAACCAGGGAGTTGTGACACATGGTTTAACGACAGTAAGAGCCGGAGGGAATGAGCCTGACTGCAACAGTGTCACAACTGACAACATAATCATATACGTGTGTTTTAGCTGGGTGTAATTGCTCACTAACCAGCACTCACTGGTTCATTACTGGTTCAAATGTAAGCACACATTGTTGTCACATATTCTGTTCCACAGTGGTCTAAAACATTGATCTGAATGCCAGCAGAAATATTTCAGTGTAAAACTGATGAACAGTTTGCAGAGCTCTGCAAAGCACCAGTCAGGAGTTCAGAGCAGCGGGCCGGCCGCTGCATGAAGCTTTGGGATAAGGTTGGGTTTGGTTTTGGTTCTTTATATTTACATAGAAGTATAATGAAAAATAAAGACTTATATCATTTAGCTATAAATAAAGACATGGTTTCAGTTTCTGACGCCTGTTGCCTGCTAAGGATTAGGTTCAACTCTACACAAACAGGAAGGAAACAGTACTGTAGGGCTTCTTGGGATTTCTCCCGTTTACGCTGCGGGGGTCTAAGGATAGACGGTGTTTGCTGTACAAACTGTTAAGCCCCCTCAGAGAAATGTGTAATTTGTGATATTGGGCTGTATAAATACATTTTATTAATTGATTGATATTGATCAGACTTCTACTTCTGTGGGTTGAGCAGGAACCTGAACTTGGATGTACAGGCTATTCTACCATCCTCCATCCATGTGGTGGTTAAAGGGCTCCATGTGTCTCGGCTGGAAGCACAAAGACAGTTAGTGATCAACAAAAGAGTGATTACATGTATTGTGAAAGAATGCAGACTGGCCTTCAGATTGATTTCTCTCAGGGTGTGTTCATGCCAAGCCTGTTCTGAGAAGTTTATTTAGACTTGATTGCACCACTGGTACAGGTAAACAGGTTTAAACAGAGGGTACACTTAAAAACCACGCAAAAAATGCGCCAAGTGACAACATGGCCCAGGATAAGGTCCAAAGCGCGGGGGGGGGGGGGCGGGGAAGGGAAGCTCTAAGGACTGGATTGGTTGGGACGTTTTTTCTCCACACTAAACCAATAAAAGTAATCCCAGAACACAAATGATGATACAAATCCATTATAAATTGATGCTTAATCCTAAATGATGGTTCTATGGAATGTTTTAGTGATGAAATCATATATTGAGATATCATGATACACAATTACACAAGACATCTTGTGATTGTGGTTTTGTTTTTATATGAAACTCTACATCACCACTACCACTGGAGGTCATGTAACCAAAGTCAGTTTATAGCTGGACATTTTTTACTTTTTTTTCTATAATTTCACTTTTAAGTTTTATGTCAATTTTGCACATAAGTTATTAATTTAATGAGAAACACTGTACAATAAGCGTTGAGCCCCCTGTGGTCCCCCCCTAAAAGCAGGGTTTATAATGATGATAACATTTTAGTTGGATAGCGGCATTATCAATCATGGTATTTTATGTGTTTTTTTGTGTGCGGATGACTCTATACAAAACTAGTCATCTTAAAATGTTGAACACTGTCTTTGTCTCTTTTGTCCCACATTAAATGTGCCACTCTCAAAAAATAACCGGCCCCAGCATGGCCCCCTCAGTAAAATGTATCCAGGACCGCCACTGCCAATATGTCCCTTCATATTTAGACCAGCTGTAATCATAAACAGGCAGAAATGTGAAGAAACATTTCATCTCCTGCCTGCCCCTCACATATCCAGGCAACATTCTTCACAGGTCAGGTGGAACTTCCACAGGGCCCCACAAATTAGAGACAAGGTTCCAGACCAACGCTGACCTGTGTTTGCCTCCTGTTTGTGTGAGGATGTTTGCACTTTACAGCAGAGTGCTAATGAATTCCTCCTGTCTCCAGCCCCAGACAAACTGCAGTACTCTCATTAACAGCAGATCTGCACAGGATGGATGGTCTCATTAGAATCTGGGGCCCTCCATGCTTTAATATTTGCTAAATTAGCTACAGTATTTTTATTTATTTATCAAATTACATATTATAGAAGAGAAACCAGATCAATACCTGCTCATTTTATATATGCTGTACTATTGACTGAGTCACAGTTACTTTCTGGTTTTATTCGATGCAACGGCAATCACTGGTTACTATGGAAACATTTTGACATTTATTTGGTTTCTTTCGCCAAGTCCAGGTACATTGTAGCTGTATCTTTGACTCAAAATGACAACTAGTTAGGCCCGAAGACTTGTGTTACATTTATTGAATCCCCCAATCCCACAACCAGGTGAGACAGCAGCCAGCAGGATTCGAGATTCAAAGGTGTATTGTCATAACATACACACAAAGGTGTAGTTATATGTCATGTATGACAAACTTAGATCGCAGGTTCGTCAACAGCGCAGTTACAAAACGTAAAAAATAAAAATAATAATAATAAAAGAGGAGTCAGGAACCAGCAGATCTAATGTGGGCGATTCTACTTCCGGTCTAATTAGCCCATATGACATGCAAGTTCACAGAAACAAATGTGAAACTATGTCAGAGAACCCTGAATGCTAGGTGTAGCATCACATAGTGGTGCAGCCTGATGCTGCTCTAATGATCGTATACATTATAAGATACAGGCTAAAGCTGTACAGTATATTACAGTAGGCCTATAGTGTAGCATAGTATAATATAGTACAGTATGTATCTATCGATCGTAAGGCCTTCTAATTCTAAATGCATATGTTTAATCTAAATAAATGATTATTATTGTGCTGCCAAAGCAGGTGACACATAGGGAAAATAAGGACAAAGCCCAACACAGCTGGCCCTATAGGAACATTAACAGTATTTTAACTAGCTCACGAGAAAAAGCCATTAAAACCTCGTATATAAAAACAGGTCTTACCAGTGCTGCTCATGGTGCCAGTGTTCTCCGGGAGATGCTGCTCAGTACGCCGTTGCCACTGACAGGAGGACCGCAGGGGGCAGAGCCACACAGCGGAGGACCCGCTGGGGGGGTGCAGAGGGCGGTGCAGAGGGGGGTGCAGAGGGGCTGTCCCTTGCTGTTATGCCGCAGAAAGCTCCCGAAGCAGCCGCACTGAGAAGACAAAGTCCCGCAGACACTGCAGTGTGCGGCTCTCTGAGCTGGGTGTGGGCACGGTGGAGGACGCGACAACAGTCAGGCTACCAGGAACCATAGGTAGGGTTTCCGGTGGGACATTTCAAAATAAAGGTTTTCTGAATGTTTATACTACTAGTCACCTATATATTGTTCTATTTATTAAGTGTTGGTACTCAGTTTCTTTACTTGTTCTTTACCACAATGTAAATATACAACATTTCAAGTAAAACTACTTCATCGAGAATGGTTTGTGGTATAACTGGTACTACAAAGTATTTAAGTACGATTAGTAAAAAGAAAATGTAGTCAAAGTATTTGATGTATAAGTGCTTATTACAGAAATAAATATTTTTAAATATTTTAAAGCAAAAGGAGCAAATCTTCACATTTAACTTTGAATAGGTTTGAACAAAGTACATTTATTTGGTTTCTCTATCTGATCTGATCAAAGAAGGGTAGGGCTCTTAAAAGGTGCATATTAAAATGCACCTTATTCATGAATGTAGCAATAAAAAACTGAGTAAATAATATTATTTTCAATCCCCCAACGTTGAATATATTAAAGTAAATAGAACATCAGAACATCAAAAAAAATATGGAGCGCAGACTGGTACTGGAGAGGAGCCAGTTCACCTCATGGGCCACTGCCGAGGTGCCCTTGAGCAAGGAACTGAACCCCCAACTGCTCCCTGGCGCCAGCTAGACTGGCTGCTTCACCGATCTGGACCTCTCAATGCTTGTGCATGTGTGAATATAACTGTGTGTATTTGTATGTACCCGTATAAGAAGCATGTGCGTGTATACAAATCAGAGTGGAAAACTGAAGGTTTATGTTCTTTTTCTTCTTAATCAGGTTTGGGGTGATATTTATCTTTCCAATATAGGTGCTTGACATTGATGAGTCTACATTGTACTTTAAATGTAAATTGTAAACACATGAGTATAAATCAAGTTGTCCCATTGAACTGACCCGCAGTGAAACTGGAGGTTTTGGGGCCAGGGTGCGGTTTTTGGGGATTTACCCTGGTAATCCAGCAGGGGTTTGCTTTTTCTACATACGGATACACTAAAACCGAAGGTCTATAACAAAAATTGCATACTTTTATGAACATAGCCACAGAATAATGAATACACTTTCATGCTTTTACTTTGAAAGACTCAATCCAAAGTTTCCGGTCTTATGTTCGGTAAGCAGGAGCATCTTGTCGCTGTTTGCTCAGCATCCACAGACTGCTCCTCGGCACCGGGCGGACAGCGACACTGCACCGGGGACGCGGTTTCCATTGGGAATGTAGTCTTTTAGAAAGAAAACGCCCATTCAAATTACCAGTGCGCAGCTTATTCTGGACTACAAGCCAGTGCAGTGTAAACAAACTGCGTTGTGAATGTACCTGGCAGAGACAGAACTGCATTTCATTTTTAAACAGGTTGGAAAATCAGTTAGGATGTAACGATGAACCTTTGCACTGCGTTTATTTGTTTGAATAATGTCAAAGCACTTAAGCACAGCAGCTGGACATCACAGTGCTCATTTTGTTTCGGTGTCATCTCTGTGTGTGTTGTAATAGCCTACAATTAACTGGGTCGGTGATCTTTTTTTTAAAAGCCTCCAGGAAAAACTGAGGCGGAGGAAGTGGAGGAAGATGACAGACCAGGAGATCACTGCAGGAAACATCTTCAGTGAAGAATATGTTAAACATAAATACAGAGCAGATTTTTTGTTTGAGATTTGATCAGTCAGAAATGGTCTTCCAGTAAATGCACTGTTTTTCAACAAACACAGGCCTTATTTATATGAAATGATCTAAAGTGTATATACTGTATATACAGTGGCGGCGCCAGGGTATTTTTGTTGGGTAATCTATGGTAGGGCTAACCCATACAGTGGTGGTGCTCAAGTCAGTATTTGCAATTTAATTACATACACGCTATATCGCACCCCGTGAAACAGTGAAATGCCACACGTGAGGTTTAGATTATTTCCCTTTCTCAATCAAAATGGAACTGTATGAAATAAAACGGCACATTTGTCTTATAGTAAATAAAAAGGGATCACTGTGAACGGACGTATGATAGTACACGTTGAAGATCCAATAGGGATACTGAATGGCGGTTCCGATTGATCTCAATCAATAAGGCATGACGCAGATCCAACGTTGCGTTGCTCTGATTGGCTGAAGGTCTATTCAAATTGCATTCGGAGGCATTTTGATCTGACCGCGGCCGCGCTGATATTATAACGCCAGAGAATTTCCACACCTTTAGTGTATAAAACTCCCCCACTACTTAGACTATTCCTTGCACCCCTCTTCTATAAGCCCGAATGGTCTCAACCATATTGCATCAGTAACGTGCACTTGTTGTTACAGCAGGATCAGTTTGTGTGTTGTGGACACGACCCGTATATTTTCGCAATCCGTGTTCTCAACATTTTGCATTTAGCTTATTATTTAATTGAATTTGCTTACTTTAACATCACTTTTCATGGTGGGGCTAAGGTGGGGCTAAGCCATTTCTTGGTATGGCTGTAGCCTACCCCAGCCATACCCTGGCGCCGCCACTGTGTATATAGGAAGAATAACACCAAGATTGAACTAATTGTAAAACATATTTGCAAAATAAAAGGTACCATAAGAATGGAACGTATTTACCAGCAGCCTATTATCTTTTGATATGATTCAATAATTTCTTATGACATGATCAAGGGCCTGAATACTCTGTGTACATTTACTGCAAATCTATAGAGGAAGACGATGACATGTGTGTGTGATGTTTATTCCATAGACCGTAGCCTAGGGTTATCCATAAAATGGGTGAGGCCCACAATGGAACACAAACATGGTTGTATTGAACTTATCCCCAAATACAAAAGACAGCACAATGTGGCTGATATGTCAATTCCCTATTCCTAACCCTAACCCTATCAAATAAGCAACACCCTGGCCCATAATTGAAAACCAACAAACAATGCAATATAAAAACATTGCAGTTATGTGGTTTTTGCTGCTGTTCACCTCTCATCTCTTGAGCTATTCTGCTCATCTCTCAGATGTAATCCTCTTCTCAGATTAGTTTGTTTTCAAGTACATTTAGTTTTATCATAAATAATGCAGAATTGTAATTAGTTTCACACAAAAATAATCATACAATTGAGTAAGTGAATAAAAATGTGTAGAAGAGGCTGGTTCATAATTTCAAATATTACATTTTAAAATTAAGATCTAGATGTTTTTTTGTGCATTTATTTTATATTATTGGTAATACATAATTTATACTTTGGTAATAACCATGTTTTTTTCCATTCAGTACCAATTTAAATGAATGTAAATAAGTAAATACCTATAATGATAGGGCCTATTAAAAACAGTTGAATTAAATAGGGATATCTTTTTTTTATTTATTTTTTATTCCAGAACATAGTATATGAACATCATTTATTTTGTATACAAAATACATAAAGTCATACAAAAAATGACATTAAATAAATAAATAAAAATACAGCTTAATTTTTCCGATTGATTGCCTTTTTATTCATACAGTTTTTAATGGCGCTACTTTATTGTTCCTTGGAAAGAATGTGGAAAGAATTTTGTCACTGCGACACCATGGACATGACGTCATAACTGCGCGACTCCAAACAGCATGGCTCTCACTTGTCAGGCTTGCACTCGTGTTGAAAGTTAAAGTGTAAAGTGAATCAGAGTTATAACATAACGAACGAAATGGATGTTCCCGACGCTAACAACGACAGTTTCGGAATAGAAGTGATTCTTCCTGACGGCGGGAAAACAGCGCCATGTTGTCCGCATGGTGAGTTTAAATCATGGACTGTTTAAATATAAGGCTGTTTTAAATGCACTGAAGCACCAAGCTGTACACATCCAACATACTAATAACAAAACGTCTTTATGTTAAAGTAGCTCTGCTTTGTTATAAATGCACACACTTTCATTATTTAAACGAGGCTTTAAAAAATGGCGTGTGAAAATGACAAAATGTAGCTAGTGTCGCAGTAAAATATCACATAAATTGTAATCAGCAGTGGTGGGAAAATTATTCATATCCTTTACTTAAGTCAAAGTACTAATACTACCATGTAAAATTACTCTATTACAAGTAACAGTGCTGTATTGAGAATGGTACTTTCTACTTAAGTAAACGTATTTAAGTATGCTCATATATATTTAAGAAATCAACTAACCCCTTGCCCTTATTCCACCTAGCTTAGCACTTTCTACTTTTGTTATTATTTTTGTTTGACTTGCTTGTAAGCGCTTTGAGCACCAGGAAAAGCGCTTTATAAATGTAATGTATTATTATTATTATTATTATTATTATTATTATTATTATTATTATTATTATTAAAGGCAAAAGCAGAAGATCTTCACATTTGAGAAGACAGGTTTTTTTTTGCAGAAAATTACTTCCAATTTACAACATTGCTCCCAATTCATGTTCTGTCTTTTCACTCAATGTTTTGGTTTAGTTTTAATTTAATTACATTTTAAAAGTTCTTTATAATTTATGTTTGTAAAAATTAAAAAGTACATTATTTCCCTTTGAATTGTAGTGGATTAGAAGTATAAAGTTGCAAAATTGAAATACTTAAGTAAAGAACAAGTACCTCAAATTGTACTTGAGTACAGTACTTGAGTAAATGTTTGGTTACTTTCCACTACTGGTAATCATATATATATATATATATTTCACAGAGACTGACTGTAAATAACACGTGTATTATGTTGTATTAAGCCATATTGCAGGTAATCAAACCCATCTCTTTAACGTTAATGTCTACTCACTTTCACTATTACATTAAAATGAACTCTTTTTTTTTTTATCACTGAGTTTATTTTATCTTTCAAGAAGTACATGGCGGGACACCTACCAAAATCACCCTATGTCACTTGTGTTTTTCCAGGTCCAACCTTGCTATTTGAGAAAGTGAGCAAAGGAGGGGAGAAAGGCAGGAGGTTCTATGCCTGCTCTGCCTGCAGAGACAGGAAAGACTGCCACTTCTTCCAGTGGGAGGATGACAAGGTGTCCGAGGCCAGGCTTCTGGCCAGAGAGGCAGAGAACCAGTCAAAGAGACCTCCCTTAACCCAGCAGGAGCGCGTCAAAAGGTCAGAAGTCAATTTACAATGTGTACCAGATCACAGGGTGTTTCTCAATCGCGTGTAAAGCTGCTTCAGAGCCACTATTTCAAGCATACTACGTCATCGAGTGCCGCCGAATACTGTTCCAATCTCCAGCATACTTGGAAATCTACCGAGCCCGGCGTACTCCGTTTGGAGAAATATCGAGGCTGCACATGAGTAGACTCCGCGGTCTTAAAATCCCCACAATGCTTTGCGCACGGACCAATTTCCAAAATCTGTGGCGGAAAATGTAAGGCGGGGCCTCTCATATGACGCACTTGCTAGCCTGTTGCACTCTTTGTTTTCCAAATGTCCGGAAGTATTCTTGCCTCGCTTCTGAAGCAAGATGCTCGGCAGACATGTGCTACCAAGCAAGCGTACTCGCGATTGAGAAACACCCAACGTCCTGCGAGGCTTTCTCTGGACCTTGGTCACAGATCGTCTCATATTAGCTTTTACTGGAAGAATGTGTATCTGTTTAACAGTTCACCTCTGGCTAGCAGAGAACTCGCAGCTCCATAGTTTAGTGGGAATGCTGATACAGCATTCCAACTATATGTTATGCTACGGACAAACAAGTTATTATTATTCCGTCCAATTATTTTGTCCGTCTTCTCCTCCCGCATTGAACATCGCAGAAACTCCGTTCAAACATCAAAACGTTCAGCTCGGTCGGGAATCGACTGCTATTACTTTTATCATTCATAACTTTCATAATTCCAGAGATACATCCCATAATTCATCAAATCTTTAACATTGAAGTCAATGGAGATATTCTTCAGACTTCAACAAATCTTCATGCGACTTCAACTGCTAACTGTTCATTCATACTTTCACTCAGAAACCTCATTCCAACTTTAAATTGTTACACATCATTCTGACATTATTCGTGTAACACAACTTTTAAATCTGATTCTTACTTTTAGAGATATTAAACATTGTTCAGACCTTGTTAAAGAGGTTTTCTTCAGATTTTAACATTAACTAGAGTGCGTGATGTCACAGCTAGAGGGTAGGAAATCTTGAAATTTGCCTTCATATTCTTTTTTTAAACTGCCATAATTCCCAAACACTACATTCTTGAGACATCATTTTTCATGACAAACGTAGGAAAACATCTCGTAGCTTGAAAAAGGACAAATAATTAAGCAAAAATAATTAAACAAAATGCCTCTTGAGGGCATGAAGTGACAAAAATGTTCAACATGTCTCCATTAAAGCCCATTGTAATTTCAGGCAGATATTTCCTCACAGCAGCAGCCGCACACCTTTAGTTAAACTGCCAAAAAGGCCACATTATTAACCCGAAAGTACACAAAAATTACACTTCAGATACTCAACTTCCTTGACATGCTTCACGTTTTGAAATTTCACAGATATCTGTTAGCGTTCTTCCACAAAACGTTCACATGTAAGAGGTTTATGTGTCATTCAGAACAATGCAAACCTTTGATCTCTTCATATCTCGTTAGCTCAACTATAAACACCTGTGTAATGGAACACGATGATGTCATCACTCCAATTGACAGCAGTCAGTTCTAACGGAGCGTCCACACAGCAGCGTTAAAAAAATCTTCCAACGCTTCTGCCCATTCACTTTGAATGGGGTGACGTCACTTTGCCTCACTTTTCGCCGAACTGCATTGTGGGCAGCAGAGCGGAGATTTTCAGGATTTTCAGGATTCTGCAAATCTGACAGTTCAAGCTTTGGCCAATCAAACCGCGTGTATGCTGGGAGAGACATACCGCAGGTCATTTCCTCATATTCCAAAAAATAGAGGAGAAATTAATTATCGCGGTAGGGAATCACCCGGTGCTTTATGACCAGTCCCTATTTACCTACCGGGATACAAACCGGAGGAGCCAGGCATGGAGGGAGGTGGCAGAGACAGTGGTAGGTTTTCGCCTGTTTGGGGAGTTTATATCCAGTTTACTTCGGGCTTTTTTGCTTCGTATGTCGGGGGCGGGAGATTCATGTGATTGGTTGTTGGTCGCGTTGCTCGCAAAAAATCCCCAAGCTTCAGATACGCCCACCTCCAAGATTTTTTTAACGCTGCTGTGTGGATGCTCCGTTACTGTTCATTTCATACTCACACACACACACACTCTCTCTCTCTCTCTCTCTCTCTCTCCGTTTTGTTATTCTTATATTATTATATAGAGTCGTTATTCATTTGTTTTAAAGCTCAATAAATAATAAAGAAGACCTTTGACTGGCACTTTTCTAATTTTGGCCGGAAGATTTAAACTTTAACAGACATGTTGACCGGCGGAAAAAAATCTAACTGAAACTCTGCTGCAGGGTCCCCTCGTCCCTTGGAAGAGGCGGAGAGGTGGGTGTTTTTCATCTGCTGGTGGACTACCGGAGGAGCAAACGCTTGCCTCTGGGAGGGAGAAAAAGAGCCAGAGCGTCCACAGTGGAGAATAAACAGAAGGGCAACCATGCGCGGGAAGTCTTCTTCGCTGCTTTTTTGGCAGGACTACAGCGCCACTTACAGGCCTGTCATATGTACTACAGCGTCCCCTTCATACTTTGTGTGTATTCATTCAAGTGGGTCAAAGTTACAAAGCACTTCACACCAGTGCTTACAAAGCACTTCACACCAGTGCAGTGGTAAGGTTATCTGTAGAAAAGCACCGTATTTAGGTTAGCCTTCAGTAAGGCTAAATGTTGTAATATTCATCGTGTCCTTTCTACTGTTTATGTATATTCCTGTTTATTGCTTTTATTTGTATTTAATTGTATTATGTTAATACTTGTTTTCCACACCTTTCCCAATGTGCCCACTGCCTGCCTGCCTACCTACCTACCTACCTACCTACCTACCTACCTACCTACCTACCTACCAACCAACCATTAGGAAATGTGTGGGAAAAGGTGGAAAACAAGTATAAACATATTACAAATAAAAGCAATACACAGGAAGTGCATATACACAGTATACACAATGAATATTACAACATTTAATGTAGCCTTACTGTGAAGGCTGACCTAAATACGGTGCTTTTCTACAGATAACTAGGCCGATTAATAAAATGTGCTTTATAACTTTGACCCGCTTGACTGAATACACAAAAAATATGAAGAAAGAGTTATCTCTGGGGCTACTTCGCTGCCAGCTATAGCCCCCCGGGACCCGGAAGTGGCGTAGCCTAAGTACTTCAACATCAATGCATACGAATGTATGAGCTCGATATAGGCTGTATTGAACACAAACTAACTGTATCCTGGTGATAAAGAATGCACCTAACGTATTGCTGTTCATTATAGTAATACAAAAATGGCGCAATAACCCTCTTGAGTCTTTTTTAGATGTCTCCTTAAATCACTTTTTAACCTGTTAAGCCCGAGAGACCCCGGTACCGGGGCACTCCCGCAACATCTTGCAGGAAACAGTGTCTGAGGGCATGTTCATTTAATAAACTATGAATGTTTTATATCCATGTAACGGGAAGAAACTCATCTAACTGATCATTTTTTTTTTTTTTTTTTTAAATAAAACCCACAATGCTAACGCTGAGCCTCTGAATTAGCAACGAGCGAAAAATGCTAACAGATTACTGCACCGAAATTCACTCACAAAACCTTATTATTTATCTTTTCTGCACATCCATGACATCGTTTCACATCGTGAGGTGACACAGAATCGAAGGGTACCCTCATTATCACTCAATTATACGAACTCGCGACTTTATAAACAAAAACAGACATCAAAACATGTGGCGCTAGGTAGCTAAAAATGCTAACATGGTTTACCTTGTGTCGTAGTCTGGTCAAAAGTGGTCTTCAATGGCATTAAAACGATAAAAACGCTGCTGAAGTTAATCCATAGGTTAATCCAATGTGTCTGTGTCCCTTTGAAATGATTTCTGATAATCCATGAGCAATAAAACTGCTTTTCCGTTTCTAGATGTCAGAGCTAGAGTGTAGGTTCGCTCTGATGCAAAACTGCATGCGTGAAGCCCCCACCTTTTTGTTGTACCATGTTAGTGAGTGGGGAGATTCCCCTTCGATTCTATTGGCTCTAACGGTCAGAAAGAGATGTCAATCACCAAAATCGACCAATGGGTTCCAGAGAAACGGTAAAACCCCCATTTCCACCCAAATCACCTCAGAGGTGGAGTTTTTTTTGCTAAACCTCTCTAAAAAGGTAACATGTCACTTGTGTTGCATCAATCTTGATACAGGGTACTTATTATATGTTGTACTTTGGATTCCTAAAGCTTTTAGTCTACTAACCCATCATCCAAGGGTAGTTTTCACTATAAGTAAAAAATAATTTTTGGACGGACACTATCATTTACAGTTTTTTACTATGTTCAATCTGAATTTTCTTTAAAATAAAAAACGTCTATATTGTTCTGACTTTTCTACATCCAACTCACAGGTTTATCATTACTTTGACAAAAAAGATGATTAATTTAACCCTTTTAGAAGGGAAGATATGGTCATTTGTTCTGGGAATATCATTTTCGAGCCTGAGACCTGAAAAACAGGCTCAGGGCTAAACAGGTTAAATGTACTTGTTATACATGGCACCCTGTGTGTTACATATCAAAATGTTCAGGACAGTCTCTTTTCTTGGTATAAAGTCACTCACCTTAGAGCACTGTGTGATGAGATAATTAGCTCTAAAGCTGAACATATGACATCCGATTTTTTGGAAATCTTCAAAACTCTTGTGAAAACACAGACTTACTCATGTCATCCATTTTTCAGGTGTTTTAGATTTGGTTTACCAAAGTCTTAGGTTCACAAAAGTAGTGTAATATATGACTAACACTGTATATACATTTGTAATTCATGTCTAAAATGAAAATGTTTAAATTCGAATTTTGAGTAAAATAGTTGTTTATCAATCTACTTTCCCCACAGCAGGGACTGAGATACATCAGGACTGAATGACTTCATATGACATACCAAGGTTGTGTGATGTGTACAAATAAAAATTCAGCATTAGAACTCTTTTTCAACCAACAATTTA